GGGTGAGTGCCTCTGTCTGAATCCTTCTGAAAGAGAGGGTGCTACTACAGTACTACAGTCGATTATAGCGCTACTGAACAGGGGAGGGGTGGTGATAGCAAAAATTGTAGTGATAATGACTCCCACAAGGAAACTGAAAACATTTTCTCCGGAGGGTACTTAGATGAAGCTGATGATAGTTTTCCCTGCCTCACTCGGAGACGTTGACATGTTGTTTCTTTATTTCAATTTGCTTGTCCTCATAGTATTTTAAGTTATCCGTTGATCAAATTTAGGATCTCTGTTATCTAGTATTTTTTTGGACACTGCAACTATTCATGTTTAAATCTGTGCCTGATTACTTAATTAGCAAAGTAATGGTGAATGACTCCAAAGTTGTGCAGTAGTTTTGATCACAAACTAACTTGGAGTACTATACTGCTGTGGATTGGTGGAAATATCAGTTATATGTATAGAGGGATGGGATGCATTTTTCACTATCATTTTTGCTAACTAGAATTGTTGTATTTGACATAAATAACTTAGATTAGAAGATCATCAGTAGCATATGTTTATCTGTATAGAGGGATGCATTTTCCACTATCATTTTTTCTAACTGGAATTGCTCTATTTGACATAAGTAGCTTAGATTGGAAGATCATCAGTAGCATCTAGCATATGTATATATGAGTTTGTTCCTGTAACAAACTCTTCTCTATTCTATGAAATGGGCACAATCTCTTGCCAATTCGTTCAAAAATTAAAAAGAGGAAGCTTCCTTTTTATCCAGGTGTGAATTTGTGTGATTGAACAGGGACAGTGATTGCAAAACAGTGGTGATGACTTCCACATGTGAACTGAAAGTGTTTTTCTGGGGAGTACTTAGATAAAGCTGATAATAGTTCTGCTTCTCTCATTTGAGATACTGGCATATTGCTTCTGTATTTTCAATTTGTCCTCATTGTCTTCTATGCCTATATAATATACAGTGATCAAATTTAGGATCTTTGTTGAGATTGGTTTATATGTACTTTTCTAGCTTTTGTAGGCCTATTCTTTACCTTGCAATGTAACTATTCGTGTTTGAATGTCTTCTGGGATGCCTGATTACTTGATTAGCAAAGAACGAGTAATGGCTCAAATGTACTGTGTAGGTAGTTCTAGTCACAAACAAACTTGGACCACATCCTCACGAGAAATAACAAGTTGTGACGGCACTCGTAGATTGTCAGTATGCACTTGTGATACCTAGAGTCCGACACCTGAATTGCTTATCATATGCTATTGCAGTATTTCATAGGTCTGTTGTATCATGTTAAACTCTATCATTAGTGAACTTTGAATTTACTTGATCATAATAAATTATATTCATCTATCCTGAATTCTTGATGCACAGATATCGTTAAGTTAACTTGCGTCTACACTAACATCATACTTGTTGTGTTGTTGACAAAACATTGTAATTATTTGGCCTGCTAATATTTTGCCAGAACACATTTCCCTTTCTATCACTAACATATCAGATCCTCTGTATATGTGTAGGACCTGATGCAGACAAAATTTTTGTCCGTGTAATTGTTGACAATCAATCTTGTGATCATTGTCCTAGCAACTTTGACAACCCAGAGGAAGAAAATTCAACACATAATGACTATTAGAAAATTTAGAGGAACAGACTTCGGATATTTCTTCCCAGAGTTCAGCTGGCAATTCTATGATTTCTTGCAGTTGTCCTGATATATCAGCATGTCTACTAATTGGAGATTTGAGATGGATTGTATATATTCTTGTAAATTGGACTTGTAATGGTAGTTTATATAATGCTCTTGTGCTTGTGGTCAGATTTGAATTATATATGCATATATATATATATATAATTCAAATTCGACCAAAACATATATATATATATATATATATGTTTTGGTTGAACTTAATTATAAATTTGAAAAAAAAATTAGTAGAAAAATGAACTGTAGGGGCGGTTGGTACTATAGCGGCCCCTACAAATAACACCAGCCGCCTCTACAAATCGATTGGTAAGAGCGGTCTGAGAACTGTCCTTACAAATACATGATTTATAGAGACGGTATGGTAGGAGCGGCTGGCTGAGCCGCCTCTACAAATGATCTTCAGCCGCCTCTACAAATGATTATTATAGTAGTGCATGGCAGATGCAGGGAAGAAGTGGCCAAGCAGGAGATACTAGATAGATAGCGAGGCACTGTTATCATGTGATATTTTAGCAGAGGTGCACGTACGTCCATTCAGTCAGTCTGGTTTAACGAATGAGGTGCACGTAGGTATAACGAATGTGATATTATTTTAGCAGAGGTACCGTTTGGATCCCTAGGGATTCTAAGAACCCGGATAAAGTAAATTTCAAAATCCTAAAATCTCATCAACATTATAGATTTTAGAGGATCTTAACACACATACACAGAATTCAAGAAACATAAGAGATTATTTTATCTAGAATCCGAATTTTAGAATCCAATTCAAACATGCCTAAACTTCTAGAACGTGCTGGGGCCTCGATCAAGCTATAACTAGCTAAGCACCGAACGGTGGCGGATTTTTCGTTTGTTCTCTCTGGTGACCTTGTTCCACAATGGACTAGAAGAGTGTTTCACTACTACACAACAGACCTTCATTGTTGAGTCATCACTGCCGGTTGCTATGAAACCGACAATGATAACCATTTACTGCTTCAAAATCAGAAATTGATTGGAGGTTCCCGAAAACCGATAGTGAAGGTCTATATCACTGTCAATTGGTGGCTTGAACCTACATTGATATGTTACTGCTGGTTCGTGGCTTTGGCCGATAATGATGTTGTGCTATCACTGCTGGCTATTGGCTTGAACTGGCAATGATAGCTGCACAGTACTAAAGCCCATGTCCTTCTCCCTCCTCCCTCCCCACCTCTCTCTCTCCATTGCTGCGGCCATTTTTCATCAAAATGCTCAATGAAGGTCTTGGATTTTCAAGCATGGGCATGATCTTCTTGTTTTAAGGTTAGTAACAAGTAGGGGTGAAAATGGTACGGATATTTTCCGACCGTATTCGAGACCGAATCCGTTTAGTTGAGTTCAGATTTGTCCGTATCTGAGTCCGGATATTCAACATCCGATACCGTATCCGAATAATCAAATCGCATATTTATGATGTCGATATCCAATCGTATCATATCCGTCAAGGTTGACAATATCCGTATTCGAATCCGAATTCGGACATAAATATGAAAACAAATGTAATATCAGTGATATCCGTTCGTATCCGATCCGTTTTCATCTATAGTAACAAGCATGCACTCTTTTAAATTTGTAGCTTTTCAATTGATTTGATGGCTAGATTGCTTGATTCTCGTGCTAGTTGTTTCTCTATTTTAGAGAGCACTTTTAATTGGATCTTGAGGAAGGCATTCAAATTGTGGTGAATCCATTCTTTAAAAAGGTTGATGTCTATGAACCCATTTTAATTCCTAGCAAACAATAGTTCTTTCATGGAGTAGAGTAGAGTTTTTTTTTCAATAGGGCTACCAATTTTAATTTTGATGAGCACATCCATCTGACACCTAGCAACCTATTGTTTTGGGCTACAATTGTTGTTCAAGATTAAGTCTCCAATTTTTATTTTTGTGTAATTAGTATCTTTATTTTTATGTGCCACAAAGTATAGAATAATTATTCTTCAATAGGGGTTACCAATTTCAATTTTGATGGGCACATCCATGTGACACCTAGCAACACATTGTTTTGAGCTACAATTGTAGATTTGTAGTTGATGAAGGCTTCAATTTTTATTTTTCTATAATTAGTCTCCTCATTCTCATGTGACATGAAGTAGAATAATTTTCCTTTGCACAGGGTGAATGTACGGTCTGGCATCTGCGGATGAAGTAGAATAATTTTTATATATTAAATTAAATTAAATTATATATTATTTTTATATATTTGGTTAAATTAAATATAAAATAGTTTGACTCGATCCTATGTAAATGTTAGAATTGCATTTCTTCACAACGGATGGATTGGTAGCTACAAATTTTGATCCAAAACGTGCATAAAACTAGCTAGCTCGTCCAACCGTACGTAGCTAGAGGCTCGTACACGGAAGGTAGCACTACTAGCTTACACGGTTACAAAATATGTTCCTACAATCCTACGAAGTTAGTGCATACATGCACTGGCCGGCTTGGACCCAATCAACCTGTAAAACAAAGAAAATCTAGGCGTTGATGAACGGGGCGCCGGTGAGGTACTCGGTGATGGCGAGCGCGACGAGGCCGAGCATGGCGAAGCGTCCGTTCCAGAGCTCGGCGTCGGCGCTCATGACGGCGCCGCTCCTGGCCTCGGCGCTGTCCCCCTTCAGCAGCGGCACCAGCGACGCCACGGACAGCACGGCGGCCGTGGCCGCGAACCAGGCCAGCCCGGAGCCGCTGCCGGCCTGCGAGAGGAGGCCCCCGCCGCGGGACGCCTCGACGGCGAGCGCGGACACGAAGCCCACCATGGCGAGCCGGCCGTTGATGCGCTCGGGAGCCGGCCCGCTGAAGGCCAGCGCGTCCCACAGCTCGGGCCTCGCTGCCTTCTTCGCCTTGGGCGTCGTCTCCTCCGTTGGCTCAACGTCCTCGCTCTGCGCCCTCACGACCAAGGCGCGGCGGCGCGGCGCGAGCGCAGACGCCGGGAAGGCGCCGGCACGACGCGCGCCGGCGGTGGCGAAGGAGAGGGAGGTCATGGAGGCCATCGCCGTTGCTGCCATTGGAGCGTATATGAGGTGGTGCTGTGGAGATCGAGTCGTTGGCTCGTAGCGGCAGGCAAGAGGCTTGCTGTAGCAGCGGCTTTCGTTGCTTTGCTTCACTTTTCTCGCTGTCGAGTTGTGTGATGGTTGCCAGAGAGGGGTGGCGGCTTTATAGGCGTGGGGAGCTAGGGGAGGTGGGCGGCGGCGGGGGCCACGTCGGCGGGAGATCCACAGCCGTAGGTTGTGGGTGATTGAGGCGCATGCGCAGGCGAGAGCAGGATGGGCTAGTACTGGTACATGCGCGCGACGTGGAGTGAGGCAGGATCACGGGCGAGGCGAACTGGGTGGATGGCGTCGCCATCGACGTGGATGGCCAGGCAGCCGCGCAGGTGGGCAAGGGCGAGGTGGCCGGCCGGCTCCCCGCTCCCGTCGCCGAAAAGTGGCAGAAGATTCCAGAAAGAGGCGGAGACATGCAGATGCTCTTGGAACAATAGGCCAAGCAGGAGATACTGTAGAGAGGCACTGTTTTATCATGTGATATTTTAGCAGAGGTGCACCGTGTTGGCAAAGAAGATCACGAATCACACACAACTCCACGGTGGCTAGCCCTAGAAATCAAGATCGCGCACGGAACGCACAAGTACACCTTGAACTGGCAACTGTCCACCGGGAGGACAGTGCCCTTTTTCACTTCTCACAAGTTTGAGTACAAAGACAATTTTCAAGTTCTCCAAGGCGCTAACTCACACCCAGTACAACCAGCTACTTATACCAGCAGCCCACACACACGGTTAACACACCCGAATTCAAATTACAACACGATACACATTGACAGAAACAAACGTCGCCAACAGCCTGACGCCGTGAGCGCAGTCACCCCGCTCCTGCTCACCAGTAACCGTTCCCGCCAACTCTCTTATTCAAATTCTGCTGAACCTTCTCACAAACCAACTTCACCACTGTTCTCACATCACTCGTGAACACAAGCTTAGCTAACAATCTCCCCCCTAAGCTTGACGTTCACCCAGATCACGAACTCCCAACAAGTGAATCATCACACCAAGCTTCACTGCTGCAAGTGGCTTAGTCAAGGCATCAGCTTTCTGCTCCAAAGTCCCCACCCTGTTGACCATAATCTGACCACACTCAACACATTCACGAATGAAATGAAACTTGATTTCAATGTGTTTGCTCTTTCCATGGAAAACTGGGTTTTTCATCAGAGCTATTGCTGAATTATTATCAACCATAAGTGTCACTGCCTTCAGCTAGTTTCCAGTGAGCTCTCCCAATAAGTTCCTGAGCCACAAGGCCTGCTTAGCTGCTGCTGTTGCAGCCATAAACTCAGCTTCACATGATGACAGTGCAACTGTTTTTTCTTTGTGTGAGTTCCAAGTCACTAGGCTGTCATTCAGATTGAATGCCATCCCACCAGTGCTTCTTCTACCCACAATATCACCTCCCACATCACTGTCAGAGTAACCCACCAACAGTTCTTGCTTCCTCTCTTGGGTATACACCAACCCATAGTTCAAAGTGCCTTTCAAGTATCTTAGGATCTGTTTCACTGCATTGAGATGCTTAGCAGTGGGCCTTTCCATGAACCTACTTGCCATACCAACTGAAAAGGAGAGATCAGGTCTGGTATGCAGCAAGTATCTCAAGCAGCCAATGATTCTCCTAAAGTGAGTAGCATCAATTCTCTGTCCCTGCTTATCTGCATCAAGCTTGGTTCCAGGATCCATTGGACACTTAGTTGCATTGCAGTCAGCCATTCCAAACTGACTCGAGATTTTTTGCATAACCTGTCTGTCTGATAGCTATGTGATCTTCTTTCTGCTCAACCTCAATCCCCAGATAGAATGATAATTTGCCAAGATCACTCATATCAAACACTGAGGTCATCTGCTTCTTGAAGTTCACAATCTCCTCTGGTTGACCACCAGTCACTATCAGGTCGTCAACATATACCCCAACCATCGAGTGATCGACTGTCCCTCTCCGATATATCTTCTTGGTTACATCGACATTTTCTAAACCCAAGGTTTTTCAAACTGCTATCAAGCTTTATGTTCCAAGCTCTTGGTGTTTGCTTTAACCCATATAGGGCCTTGCTCAATTTCAGCACCATTTGCTCTTTGCCCTTCTGCACAAATCCTTCTGGCGGGCTTACATAGACATCTTCTGCCAATTCACCATTGAGAAATGCAGTTTTCACATCTAAATGATGTACCTGCCAACCTCTATTAGCTGCTATTGCCAAGATAAGTCTCACAGTGTCAAGCCTTGCCACTGGAGCAAATACCTCCTCAAAATCAACTCCTTGTTTTTGAACATAGCCTTTAGCAACTAATCTGGCCTTGTACTTCACAACCTGTCCTTCTGCATTTTTCTTCAATTTGTAAACCCACTTCAGCCCTATAGGTTTATGCCCAGCTGGTAACTTAACTAATTCCAAAGTCTTGTTCTTGTTAATGGATTGGATCTCACTCTCCATGGCCCCAACCCAATTCCCATCACCAGCTGCCTCTTGATAGCTACTTGGTTCTTCCATGACAGTCAACAATACCTCCACTTCTGAGTCATAGGTCATCTCCACCTCAACACTGTCCTCATACACTTCATTGAGGTTTCTAAATCTCAGAGGTGGTTCATCATAGTTACTGTCATGATTCATGTCAACATTACCTTGATCATCACCATGATCATTATCTGCACCTTGTACTGAAACTGGTTCTAACTCTGTTGCCTGACCATCAACAGTGCCAGAATGAGCATCTGCCCCATGTTGAACTGATTGTTCCACTGAACCTGTGACTTCTGCACCTCCATCAGTTTCACCAGCTCCCCCTAAACTCTCACTTGGTTCACCATGTTGGCTATTTCCACCAACAATACCACCAGTGAATGGTAGTGATGTGTCATCCACTACATCTTCTCTGAACCCTGAACCTTCACCAAATTCAGTGTTCCATTCCCAAGCTGTTGCTTCTTCAAAGATAACATCTCTGCTTATTACAATTTTTTCTGTCTTAGGATTGAACAATCTGTGAGCTTTAGTACCCTCCTCAACCCCTAGATAGATCATTGCAATGCTCCTGTCATCAAGTTTCTTCAAATGAGGCACTGTTGGCCTTACATTTGCTCTGCAACCAAAAACTTTCACATGTCCAAGCTGTGGTCTTCTTCCACACCAACCTTCAAAAGGTGTCCTGTAACCCATCACCTTTGTAGGCAACCTATTTAGCAAGTACACTGAGTGTCTCACAGCTTCACCCCAAAAGCAACCTGGAACACTCATGCATTTTAGTATTGCTCTAGCCATCTCCATGACAGTCCTGTTTCTCCTTTCAACAACACCATTCTGCTGTGGTGAGTAGGGTGTAGTGAACTGCCTTTTGATGCCAGCAAGTTCACAAACATCCTTAAAAGCTGTTGCTAAAAACTCACCACCTCTATCTGATCTAACCATTTTTATCTTGTAACCCAACTCATTTTCTGCTTCTGCTTTAAATTTTGCAAATGCATCACTGGCTTGATCTTTTGTTTTCAGAATAGAGACTGTCATCCATCTAGTGCAATCATCCACTAAAAGCATAAAGTACTTGCTCCCCCCAACAGTTTCAGGTGTAATAGGACCACACAAATCAACATGAATCAATTGCAATGGTTCATCAGCTTTCCAACTTGAACACTTAGGAAATGACTGTCTAGTTTGCTTAGCTGCTAGACATGAATGGCAAACCTGATCTGGATGCTCAATCAAAGGAACCCCCTTTGCCATTTCCTTTTGCGCTAACATTTTAATAGACTGAAAATTTACATGTCCCAATCTACCATGCCACAACCAAGACAGATCATCACTCTTAGCTTGGAAGCAAGCTGGTTCTACGGTGTTCAATTCAATTTTGTACAGTCTATTCCTAGACCTTTGCACCCTCATAATGGTTCTCATTGTACTTTTCTCAACTACTTCAATCAAGTCATCATCCATTTCTACTTTATAACCAATTTCAGTCAACTGACCCAAGCTAATAAGATTACTCTTAAGTTTTGGGATAAAGTAGACATCTAACAGTAACCACTGATCACTAGACTTGCCTTGAAATAAAATAGAACCTTTACCATGAATCTCTACTGCAGAACCATCACCAAAACGTACCTTGCCACCAACCGTGAAGTCAATGTCCCTGAACTTCTGATAATCACCTGTCATATGATTGCTGGCACCATTATCTAGGTACCACACATCCCCACACGACTGACCATCTCCAGCAAACATCAATTCTGAATCCATGTGTACCTCATTCAGATGCACTTCTTTTTCCAGAGACTGTTCACCTGCATTCAGACATTGCTTCTGCTGAACCTGAATGTCTTCCGACAACCGGCGCTTGAACTATCCTGGCTCCTCCGTTTCAGCAAGCAGCACTGTCGGTTCAAACTCCACTCTCTTGGCATGATGCGCCTATTCTTCCTTCTTCTTTTCACCTCCTGGACACCTGTTGGCATAGTGTCCATAGGTGTGACATTTAAAACACTTGATGTGGCTTTTGTCATGCTTCCCTACGCCTTCCTTGCCACCATCACCATGACTGCCACGGCCACCGCTCCCACCGCCACGGCCACGACCTCATCCACGGCCACTGCCATGTCCTCGCCCACCACCAGAGCTCTCTCCTAACATCTTCTTGTACCGGGCTTCCCACTCGGCCTATGTCAGCAATGCCTGACCATCACTGGTTCATGCACCACCTGAGCTCCTCTTGGTGCGCTCCTCGAAGGCCTTCAACCTCCCAACTGCCTCATCAAAGGCAATCTTCTTGAGATCAAAGAATTGTTCGATCCTGGTGACAACGTTGATGAATCTCTCAGGCACCGTGTCGAGTATCTTCTTCACCAATGCCGCATCATCAAGCGATCCCCCCAGGTTAGCATAGCGGACTGACATGCTTGTCAGTTTCCCCACGCAGCTATCGATCGACTCATCCTCCTTCATCCTCAGAGCGTCAAATTCGCTCTTCAATGTCTGCAATCTTGCTTCCTTCACTCGCTCCTCCCCCACGAACCTCGCCTTGAGTGATTCCCAGACCTCCTTCCCGGTCTTCTTCGTGGCAAGCACTGAAGCAGATGCGCTCACGCCTTCGTGTCCTTCGCCTTCCTCGCCGCAACCGTCGTTGCACCTTGATCCGACTACTCCCCCGTCGGCTCAACCACCTCCCACACACCTTGATCCTCCATTATCGCCTGGACCCGAATGCTCCAACTCGTGTAGTTGATGGAAGTGAGCGGCAGATACTGGATCCGGCCGCCATCGCCCCCGCTGCCTCCTCCGGTTCCCCGATCGCCCATGGTGGATCGACTCAGCGCGTTGTGCGTGATTTAGTGGCTCTGATACCAGATGTTGGCAAAGAAGATCACGAATCACACACAATTCCACGGTGGCTAGCCCTAGAAATCAAGATCATGCACGAAACGCACAAGTACACCTTGAACTGGCAACTGTCCACCGGGAGGACAGTGCCCTTTTTCACTTCTCACAAGTTTGAGTACAAAGACAATTTTCAAGTTCTCCAAGGCGCTAACTCACACCTAGTACAACCAGCTACTTATACCAGCAGCCCACACACACGGTTAACACACCCGAATTCAAATTACAACACGATACACATTGACAGAAACAAACATCGCCAACAGCCTGACGCCGTGAACGCGGTCACCCCGCTCCTACTCACCAGTAACCGTTCCCGCCAACTCTCTTATTCAAATTCTGCTGAACCTTCTCACAAACCAACTTCACCACTGTTCTCACATCACTCGTGAACACAAGCTTAGCTAACACACCGTGCACGTACGTTCATTCATTCTGGTTTAACGATTTAGGTAACCTGATTAGGAGTGAGATTTAAACTTGTGGAACCTGTTGAGCTCCTACCGGCGGCAAAAGTTATAATAGAGTCATTAGAGAGTCGTGTTCATCTTCATTCCCACACATAACGAAAGGAGTTCCAAAAATTGGAGATAATAAAGTCATTGGAGATTCGTGTTCATCTTCATCCCCATAAGTAACAAAAGGAGTTCCAAAAATTGGAGAAAAACGTATTTAAGAAATTGAGTCAAGATATGGCAGCACAAAGTGCATTTGAGTTGCGAAATGCTACTTCATCAATGTTTTAATTCTATCCCACAGACATTATATTGGACATATTTGAGGGGGAACTTTTGGAAACTTCAATACTAACCATACGTTGTTAATTATTCTTCTTTACCTTTTTTTTCGACAAAGCCTTAGGCAAGCTTTATTGATTGAGAATAGTTACATCATTGGCTAAAAAATCAACAATAAAACTAGGGGGATCATCGTCCCGGATACAATTTTCTTTTGTAAGCATAGCTTGCCTAGCTAGTTCATGTGCCACTTGGTTTGCTTCCCTGCTTAGGTGCTCAATAGAAATCTCCTCGAAACCACTCCAAGCAATGCTACGTTCATCATATATTGCGGCCGCTGAATTCGCCATAAAACCTCCATTCCCCATAATTTCAACAACCTCCATACAATCGGATTGAACGATCAGGCGGTTTCCTCCAATGTGTTGAGCTAGCATTAACCCCTCCTGAGCATATGCTTCCACCATTGGCGCATCCACTAGATGGAAAATAAAAGTACTAGTTGCTGCAATCATACCACTTGAGCCATCTTTGATAATTGCGCCTGTACTTCCGCATCCCCTATCATCATCTTAGGAAGCATTAATGTTTAACATAATGTAACCTTATGGAGGTTTTCTCCATCCTTGTCATCCTTTCTTTGCCGCCAACTTATAGTTCTTTGCTAGGGAAACAATAGCTAGTCCTGATCTTGATGGGAGTTGAATATTTTCTCCATGCATTACTTGCCGCCTTTCCCACCATAGGTACCGACCACCGGTGAGGATAAGTTCGGCTAGTCCAATCTCAAGCCCATGGACCTGCTCTCCTCTACAGATAATTTCTTCCAACACAATGGACCCCGAGCGAGCAGTGTTCAGCAAACCTCTGAGTTTGTCCCAAACTCCTATCGAATTCCATACTGCTCTAGCCCGATCACAAGAAAAGATCATGTGTTTAATATCTTCTGCTCCATTATGGCACACCGAACACCCCCCATCAGGAATAATATGCCTATTTGCCAATATTGATGGCATCAATCCACAAAGAGCTCTCCAACCAAAAATTTTAATTTTCCCCGGCACTTGGAGCTTCCATAGATTTCGCCATAGCTAACGATTGCTAGTCCCACGGCCCTGCGCAACAGCTTGTCTAGCTCCAAATTTCTTCTTCCATTGGCCATGATAAGCTGATCTCACCGAAAACAAACCGTTTCTATTATAATGCCAAGCTACACAATCCTCTCTCCCTTGGGTAATCGGCATCTGTAAAATATGATTTGCATCAACACGCTCAAAAATAGAATGCACCAAATCAACATCCCATGTTGAGTCCACATGATTGATTAATTCATCCACTGTGCTTATTATGTTATTGCCTCTCCGTGTCTGAACTTTCAAATTGTGGCTGCCTAGGATCCAATAATCCTCCTAGATCTTGATATGTGTGCCGTCCCCAACACGCCATATGTATCCAAGTTTAAAACAGTTGAGCCCTGCTAAAACACTTTGCCAAGTATAAGAGCTTCCACGTTTCATTCTCGCATTTAGCAATTTTCCATCGGGATAGTAGCGAGCTCTTAACACTCTGGCACATAATGATTCTGGATTACATAGAAGTCACCAAACTTGCTTTGCTAACAATGTCATATTGAAAGATTGTAAATCTTTAAATCCCATACTTCCTTTTCCTTTTGGCATACAAAGTTTCCACCACTCTTGCCAATGAATCCTCTTATGGTCATTGTCATCACCCCACCAGTATTGCGAAATACCATTTGTTATTCCTTTGCAAATGTTCTTCGGAATTTTAAACACAATCATCGCATACACTGGAGCAGCTTGAGCAATAGATTTAATGAGGATCTCCTTTCCTCCCAAACTCAACAATTTCTTCTTCCACCCATTGATTCTAGAATTCACCCGATCAATATGATGGCGAAAACAGTCGCTACGATCTGGCCCCCGAATTTTTTATTTTTTAGCCCTTTTTTGAAAAAAATTTCACAAATATGCCCCTGGGGGTATGATTTCAAAATCTGGACCCTTAGCTCGGTGCCATCGTTGGTGGCACCGAGCTTACACGTCTCGACGCCATAGATTTTGGCGCCTAGGTCTTGGGCTCGACGCAGACATGGCGATGACTTGGCAGGCAGCTTTACGCCGTAGATCCTAGAGCCGAGCTCGGCGCCGTAGATCTTGGCATCGAGCTTGGCGCCGAGAACCGCGCCAAGATGTATTGTGCCGAGGTGGTGTTTTAACCCGGCCCCCAACCTTCTTGCCCGAGCCTTATTCCTCTTCTTTCTCCTCCCTCTTGGGTTTTTTCTCTCACCACTTCGCCCTACCTCACGAATCGGCATATTGGACCTTTGAAACTTTGATTTGATCCATAGATCTTCGAGAGCAAGGTATCCTCTCTCCCTCCTAGTTTTTTTCACATCGATTCGGTATATATTAGTCGGATTTTTCAACTTAAGAATCGTCATTACTTAGGGTTTCATGTAATTTTAATATTTATATTATACAACCGTAAGATGCCAAGGCGTGGAAAAGCTAGTAAACCAAGGTAACCTCATCGCACATTGTTATGTTATGGGTTCATTGTTATCCGATCAAATGGGAAATCCTAGGTGTATGGTTTAATGTTAATTGATTTCGGTTCTTAGAATAAAAATGGCTGAATTGTAGTTATAGCTGGATGACCGAAAATGCATTCGACCCATTGCCTCTGCCTAGTGGTGTTCTAGTGCCCATGTGCTTTTGCGGCGATCCTTGCAAGGTAGTCAAGTCCGATGAAGAGGACACGTATAGGCAGAGGTATTGGATGTGTTCTAATTTTGTGTTTGAGCCTACACTTCATCAGCGCTGCATTAACAAGATGGTGAGGAATTGATATTTGTGTCATATGACATCTTGCATGATTTTTTTGTTTTGTAACAATTGCATTTTTTGCGGACCCCTCCACCGCTCTGTGATTTTGAGTAGTGGATCGATAGTGAGATCAAGCCTGAAGACAAGGAATGGATACAGAAACTGTTGCGGTGGGAGGTAGAGGACAAGGAGATGATGGAGAAGAGACGCGGAGAGGAGGCTACAAAAAAGGAGCACAAGGAAGAGGAGGAAAGGGGATGTGTTGCTGTGTACATGGAGGAGAGGGAGAAGAAGCTTGAGCGTGCATGCCGAGCAAAAGCAGCGATGGAGGAGAATTCCGATGCCCTGAGAAAGGGAAAGTGGCCTCGTTGCACTCAGTAGTCTCCATGACTTGCTAGTTCTATGGTTTATTCATGAACAATGTTGTCTACTATTGGACTTTTCATTATGTTGTCATGTAATGCACTTTAAGTATGGGCATGCTTAGGTCATGTACTGCGTTATTTAGTTTGTCAGCACGTACTTCTAGTATTATTGTGTTGTTTAATGTGTCATAGTATTGGACTTTTCATTACATAGTTGTATTCATTATTTGTGGTCATAATATTTAGTTTAATATTGCGGACATAGTGAAATGTGATCACGTGCTGCAAATAAAACCTAACGAAGTAGGGCATTATATAATTCAATACACTAAACACATGAAATGTCATGTGCAAACATGTACCGAACTTGGGTACAGAGGTCCTGAACTAAACCTAACATGCCTTAGGTAATCGAAGCGAACAACAAGCACAAAAAATGGCATGTAAGAACATGTACCAAACAAGGGTACATAGTTCCTTCGACTAAACCTAACATGCCTTAGGTAATTAAACCAAACAACAAACACATGGATGTGCCATGTGAATAAGATAGGGTCATCCTAGTAGTGTGGCCACATAACAAATTGTGTTGCACCTTCTCCACAGTAGCCTCCCATTGTTGGTGGTGGTGGTGGAGGGGGTGATGGTGGAGGCCCCTTGTTCTTGTGATTAGGGCAGGTGCAATATGGATCATTGCAGAGTGCCTCCTGTGAATCAACACCATTGTTGTTGTTGTTCTGTTTGTCGTCCTTGTAACCGCTACTAACTTCCCTTTCTAGATCGAAGATACGGTCCTGCAGGTAGTAGATGTACTCTGCATGCGGATAAATAGGTCGAGGATCAACCCACCAAGTGAACCCATAGTTTTCTTTAGCCAAGGAAGACTGCAATAAGTATGTCATGTAAGTTGTATAGAAGAGGAACATGTTGAAGAAACAAATAGTAATAGCAATTACCCATGCTCGCGGGC